GCATCCACTTGGATGATGCGACGGCTGCCACAGGACAACGGCGCCAGTGCGCTCACTACACACCAGCTATTGGTGGAGAGGAGAGACAGTGATAGAGCCAATTCGGTGGAAGGGGATGATTGGGAGGCCATGATCGTAAGGGCCGATAGAGGGACTTTGGCCAGGACACCGGGGTTACACCCCTGCTCTTTCACGAGAAGTGCCATGGGATTTTTAATGACCACAGAGAGTCAGGACCTCGGTTTAACGTCTCATCCGAAAGACGGCGCCCACTGACAGTGTAGTGTCCCCTTCACTTTTACTGGGGCATTAGGACTCACACAGACCACAGGTTGAGCGCCCCCTGCTGGCCTCACTAACACCACTTCCAACAGCAACCTAGTGTTCCCTAGTGGTCTCCCATCCAGGTACTGACCAGGCTCAGCCCTGCTTAGCTTCAGTGAGTAACCGGTCTTGGGCTGCAGGGTGACATGGCTGTAGTTGGTAGGTTGATAGATGGTAGGTAGGTAGATAGACAGACAGACAGACAGACAGACAGACAGATATGGTAGGTAGGTAGATAGATGGACAGATGGATGGATGGATGATGGATGGACGGACGGACGGATAGATAGATAGATATGGTACTGTAGGTAGATTGGTAGGTAGATAGTAGGTAGGTAGGTTGACGGACAGACAGATAGATATGGTAGGTAGGTAGGTAGGTAGGTAGATAGATAGATAGATGGAAGGACAGATTGATATGGTAGGTAGATACAGGAGACAGATATGGTGGGTAGGTAGTAGGTAGGTAGACAGACAGATAGATATGGTAGGTAGGTTGGTAGGTAGGTAGGTGGATGGATGGATGGATGGATGGATGGATGGATGGATGGATGGATAAATATGGTAGGTAGGTAGGTAGGTACAGAGACAGACAGATAGACAGACAGACAGACAGACATGGTGGATGGATGGATGGATGGATGGATGGATATGGTAGGTAGGTAGATAGGTAGGTAGAGAGACAGCCAGAGAGACAGACAGACAGACAGATATCGTAGGTAGGTAGATGGACGGACGGACAGATAGATATGGTAGGTAGGTAGGTAAGTAGGTAGGTAGACAGATAAACAGATAGATATATATATGGTGGGTAGGTAGGTAGGTAGACAGACAGATATGGTAGGTAGGTAGACAGATGGACAGATATGGTAGGTAGATAGACAGACAGACAGACACATAGATATGGTAGGTCGGTAGATGTATGGATGGATGGATGGATGGATGGATGGATGGATGGATGGATGGATAGATAGATAGATAGATAGATAGATAGATAGATAGATAGATAGATAGATAGATAGATAGATAGATAGATAGATAGATAGATAGATAGATAGATAGATAGATAGATAGATAGATAGATAGATTTCTTATAATAAAGATCTTATAAGTTGTTATATTAATGTATACAGCACCATAGTGCCAGGTTATGATGATCAACTGTGCAGCTTGAGTGTTAAAGGCATGTATTGTGGTGACATCATTTGGCGCAGGAAACCACAAAGCAGGTTTCACAAGCGTTCAGCAAATGATAAACAGAGCATCCGGTGCACTAACATGAATCCTCTATAAAGTGTGCGTGTTACATGCTAAGTTCAATAGAAGTTACATTATTTAAAAAGGTGTAACTAATATTTAAACAATATGTACAAATATATGAATAATGTACTCTATGCCACTCCACTGATAATTGTCTGTACATCTCTCTTCAGGGTTTTGTGGAAATTCACCATATTTAACTGTTTTTGCTGAAATCATTGCTGCAATCAAAAACTAGTAATGTGTCTGATCCGGCAAAGCATGAACTTACCTGATATGAAATGAGAACTGCAGAGTCAAGCATTTTTAAATAGGTCCTCACTCCATTCAGCTCTTAAGCCCCATTCACACGGGGCGCCAGCGTCAACGCTTCCCATTCACTTTTAATGGGTGATGTCAGGCGTTGCCGAACTGCATTGTGGATCCGTCGGCACTGCTTCAGAGGCGTCGCTCGCTGCAGAAGTTGGGACTAGCTCAACTTCTTAAGCGCCGACGGAATCGTCAGCCAATCAGATCGCTGTATGCAAACACACCAGTTCAGACAGTGGCCTATTGCTGACTGAATTTCATTGGCTGACACTTCTATGACGATCGCTTCAGCCCCAACTTCAGACACGCCTTCAGTCATGCGTTGACGCTGAAGCCCCGTGTGAATGGGGCGTTATGACGGCTGTTAGCCAAAGACGTCTGCGGTTGGCATTAAAAGCTGTTTGGTGTACCGAAACAGTTTTCTATTTTTGGACTTTAGAATTTGGCGTCCTACCAGACAACATAACATGTTTGCTATTGCAACAGGTCTTTTTTTGCAACCGATATGCGCGGTTGGTTGAATGCATATTACGTCATGTGTGAAGTAGGTTGGTAATTTCCCTATAGCATGGTTCAAAAACACTGTAGTATTTACTATAATGATTACAGTTTTTTTCATATGGGAAGGAATGGACAGATGTATGAATGGATGAATAGATTGATGAAAAAAAGGAATAAGAATAGAAGACAACATAGGCCTACACAAGACAAATGTTATACCTTCTAAAATATGTCATTTTTACTGAAAAACTAAAAAAAAAATAGGCCTACATTTTACAAAATCTATCAATATTTTAACAATATTCATTCATTCATTCATTCATTTTCGACCACTTTTCCAGGGCCGGGTCGCGGAGGCAGGTCTTAGGAGAGAACCCTCGACTTCCCTCTCCCTAGACCAGGGGTCAGCAACCCGCGGCTCTAGAGCCGCATGCAGCTCTTTAGCGCTGCCCTTGTGGCTCCCTGGAGCTTTTTCAAAAATGTTTGAAAATGCAAAAAGATGGGGGAGGTTAATATATATATATTTTTAATATGATTTCTATAGGAGGACAAACATTTTTAACGTTTCCAAATGCTGTCAAAGTGTGTAGAATTAATATTTAATTTCAACATTTCTGTCAACGAAGATTTGCGTCATAGCCTGCGACACACGTTTCTATCAGCAGGGTGGGATGCCAGGCAAGTGGCTGTTGTAAACAAACCAGGAGATTATAAAGCATGGAAAATCGTTCAAAGATGCTATGACATATTAGAACACCTATTTGCAAACTTTAAAAACAAAACCAAGATAATACAAAAAAAATAAAGATATACCTTTCTCCACTAAGAAAGTGAAGGAAAGGGCTATTAAAATGGTAGGTAACATCACCGATCAGCAAACCAAGGACATTAATTCAGTGCCAGCATACTCAATTGCCTGTGATGTGACCGATATTCAACTCGCTTTTATGCAGGTATGTGAACTCTGATGGGCCGCAAGAAGAAATGATCAAATTAATAACACTAAAAGACAAGAGGCTGTGCTGAAGTGTTTTAATGACAACAAAATAAACACCAACCACCTGATTTCAGTGGCTATTTAATCATGAAGGCTCATTATGTATTTGTAGCCAATTTAGTCATTTTGATAGTAGGCTAATATAGCTAATATACATACTTACAGCATGTGTTTCCTTCATTATAAGGCTTTTATAAGGCTTTACATTTTTTGTGGCTCCAGACATATTTGTTTTTTGTTATTTTTGGTCCAATATGGCTCTTTCAACATTTTGGGTTGCCGACCCCTGCCCTAGACGCTTCCTCCAGCTACTCCGGGGGGATCCCGAGGCATTCCCTGGCAAGCCTAGAGACATTGTCCCTCCAGTGTGCCCTGGCTCTTCCATGAGGCCTCCTCCTGGTGGGACATGCCTGGAACACCTTCCTAGGTAGGCGTCCAGGAGGCATCTGAAACAGATGCTCCAGCCACCTCAGCTGACTTATTCTAATGTGGAGGAGCAGCAGCTCTACTCCAAGCTCCTCCCGGGTGACAGAGCTCTTCACCCTATCTATAAGGGTGTGCCCTGCCACCCTGAAAAAGAAGCTCATTTCGGCTGCATCTATCCGAGATCTTGTCCTTTCGGTCATGACCCAAAGCTTGTGACCATAGGTGAGAGTAGGTACGTAGATTAACCGGTAAACCGGTACATCAACCGCATTACTGCTGCCGCTGCACCAATCCACCTGTATCAAAATTTAAACTTTACATTATATTGGTATATTGAAGGTATAATTCATTCAAAACTGATTTCTGTAAGTATTTACTCGCCCCTTATTTCCAACCTTGTTTAACTTGAAGAAGCTATTTAGAAGAAAGCTGGAAACCCTGATAACTTTCGTGGCATTTGTTTTTCCTGCAGTGTCAATAGTTTCAAATATCTTTAGTGTTCAACAAAATAAAGATACTCATAAAGGTCTGGAACCACCTGAGGGTAATAGTGAGTACATTTTCGTTTTAGGATGAACTATCCATTTAATAAACTGGATTTTTGCTTGAATGGGGGGTTTTCTTTGCTTTAGCGTCAGTGATCCACACTCCATTCCAGTAGGTGGTGGAAAATGCAAGAGTGGGTTCATTAAATCGCAGAGGAAAAAGAAGAAGGGGATACCAGTAAAGCTTTGGGAAACAGTGCAGCCAGTGCCCTGAAGAGCTAGATGGATGGACGGATGGATAGACTGTTGTCAAATAAATAGGCCTATACAGCAGTTGAGTACACCTCTTACAGATTATTAGTAGACAGACAGACAGACAGACAGACAGACAGACAGACAGACAGACAGATAGATAGATAGATAGATAGATAGATAGATAGATAGATAGATAGATAGATAGATAGATAGATAGATAGATAATGTCAGTAGTTTCAAATATATTATTTAGTTTTCAACAGAATAAAGATACTCATCAAGGTTTGGAACTACCTGGGGGAGAGTAAACTGAGTACATTTCATTTTAGGGTGAACTATTCCTTTAATAAACTGGATTTTTGTTTGAATGGGCGGTTGTTTTCTTTGCATCATAACACTCCATTCCAGTAGATGGTGGAAAATACCAAATAAGGTTTATCAAAACGTTGAAGGAAAAAAGAAGAAGAAACAAAAGAAGTAGAGCTGTGGTAAAAAAGTGCAGCCAGCGCCCCCCAGAGCAATACAACCGTTTTACCCACAATTCCGTGTGCTGCTTGCCTTGGAGATGCTGTGACCAACATGGCGGAGCCAACGGTAAGCGGCGCACAGTCTTGTCTGCTGTTTAAATGTTGTTTAAAACACATTTAGTCTGTTGTCATCAGTCCCTGTCATTTCTAAAAGCATTTTGTTTTTGCAGGTGGAAATTGTTGAAGGCTGCCGTCTTCCGGTGCTGCGAAAAAACCAAGAAAATGAAGACGAGTGGCGTAAGTGTCAAGCTGAGAGCTCCGTAGCGAATGTAAACAAAAGACCCCGGTGCGCTCACGGGTACCTTAATGTGTCGGCTATAAATGAAACTCATTTTGCTTTTTCATTTAGTTAAGGGATGTGTTGGTAATTTTTTTAATTTTAGTTATTAAGTTGGTATATAAAACGCACCGTGTGATACTCCGGTGCCTTTAGGTGATGCTACTGTTTATACTCTAGCTCTAAATGATGATTAATGTAAATCATACAACGGTGTAACAAAATGTCCTGGAAAAACACAACGCTTTGGCATAACTGCTAACTTATTTTAACTAGCCTACTACTTATTACGTTCCTAATCATAAATCTATGGAAAACCAGCCTGTGATTGTAGCTTGTTTTACGTGATATCCAAGCTAACATAGGTATGGCAAGCCGTTTTGACATTTAATTTATAACCCGTACTAATATATATTTTTCATGTTACTAGTATTTATGTTTTACATCCTAGTATCTGTTCCATTAAGTATTAGTGCTTATTCTTTAGATACTTGTGTTTTTTTAATATGCTAGTGCTTACTCATTAGACACTAATGCTTTTTTTTATCAGATACTAGTACCTATTAAATAGATACTAGTAGTTATGTATTGGATACTAGTACTCAATGTTTCCTCTAGTATTTTTTTCAGTTGTGGCGGCAGACTCCGTTGGGCGTTTTACACAGATTTACCAACTTCTTGTGCCGTTATTTCAATGTCAAATGTTGTGAGCGCAGTATTACAAGTCGAGATCGCATTTATGTAATACGAGCATGCAAATCTCTTTGCTTGCATGCCAATTTCCTGTTCATGAACAAAACTTCTTGCACACCCTCAAATTTATGCTACCCAAGTGCAGATTTTCTTGAGCGCGCTCAAATAAATGCTGCTAAAGTGCGATTTAGTGCGTTTCTGTAACAAGTATGTCTCCAACATTTATTAGATTTGCTTGCTAGGAATATTTATGAATGTCTCCAATAGACCTACAGATTGGCATTAATGTGTCCTGAAGTAAAGTGAAACGGCTATAAACTCCAGAAAGATGAAGTCATTTAATGCAGAGCCGTAGACCTTTATCTATAAAGCATAATTATGGAAACTGTGTTCATCTTAACTGAAAACTACGTCATGTTTGCTGGCCTGCCACATCACGCACCTGGCAGACAGTCAGTCAGTATGTCACTTTAAAGGGTTAAACAAATAAGGCATAGCACTACTATGATTACAGAAAAGTTCACGCTGTTATAATTCACTTACCTTTTAATACAATTTGGTGTGATTATAACCTGCTAATAATAAAAAAACGACTGAATGTCTTGAACAAGATGCTGTAATGCAGCCGTGGTGGGATGAATTTTGGTGTGACGCCCCACCATGGAAGAATGTATGTAGCGGAAATCATGAGTACTCATTCCTTAGATATTAGTACTTATTAAATAGATACTAGTTCTTATTTATTAGATATTAGTACTTTTTTAATAGTGACTAGTAACTATTCTATTGTTACTAGTAATCTATGTTTTTTTTTTTTTTTTTGTGGATTTCAGCTCCTTTTGATTATAAGGTTGGGCCAATTGACAGTGCCATTCCCCTTTGCCGATGGCCGTTAGATATCACAATGCTGAGCTGGCATCGCAAACCAGCCCCCATTGCAGCAGCAACCTGCGTGCGGAAAAATAAACAATTAGGCCCTAATTACACTAATATATCTTACTTTTAAAATGGCGTTTTAGAACAAAAATGATCCACATCCACACTGTCGTTTCACCTAGCGTATCTGAAAAGCCCACCTTCTATACTATACTGCTGAAAATGCACATCATGTGACCACACACACACAAAAACACACACGGGCATGTACTGCAGGGTACATTATTACATACATAATTCCTGAGAGCAGTGCGCGTCGGATCGTTTATCAAGAATGTACCGCTGGATCACGTCTCACTATAGTTGTTAAACGTGATATTTAATTAATCTTGTCTCTATCTAATGACTTTTCTGTCTTTTAAATCTATCAGGTAACGTGTCTTTACCTTTCACGCTTGTACTTTGTAATTTTAGCGAAAACCTCAGATACTCTTAGATGGTTCCTGTTGGTTGTGCACCTTCTTTCCAACCAAGTTTGTCGACGCCACTATACAGTGAAAAAAGTGATTGACAGGAGTTAACTTGTGTGTAACTTTATTTATGATTTGGTTATGGCTAATGCAGGTCAGGTAGTTGAAACGGAAGGCTACAAATAATTAAGTGACAGAAAACATCTTTAATGACCCAAGAAACCCGCCACATCCCGAATAACATACCACAACTTCTTCCCTCATCATTATATTTTACAGAAAAGCCTAAATGCTTTCATAAATGAGATTTGAATGACGTGAGAGGTGATCTCTCTGTGATTGTTAAAAAATTAGTAAAAAAAAAAAGTATTAATCTGCGGGTCATGTGTGTTCCATATGTGGGTTGTGATCTGTATGACACACTAATCAATCGCGATCTGGTACACCCCTAACCTTCATCAATTTAAACTATGATGTGTTCATTTATTTATTTATTTTTTTTATTTATTCAAAGCATTGGCTGAAATTCTTAGTGTCAAAGACATTCCTGGCAGAAAACTCTACTATGTCCACTATATTGACTGTAAGTATTAACCGTCTGCTTCTACTCATCATTTACTCTCGTATGAATACAATCTATTTATTGAACACGTGTTTTAATCAGCATTTTATTGCATTTCTGTTTTGTAAAGTCAATAAGCGACTGGATGAATGGGTGACTCCAGATCGGCTAGACTTGAAGAAGCTCCAATTTCCCAAAAAGGAGGCAAAGACCCCTACAAAGAATGGCCTGCCGGGGTCTCGTCCCAGCTCCCCAGAAAGAGAAGTGGTATGATTTCTTGTTCCTCTGCTTGCACTGTTAGGATTTTGATGATGGTGTGTGTGAAACGCCCTCACCCAACATTGTGCCACAAACAGTTGTTTACATGCCATGTTCTCCTTTACCATCCTCTCTTCCTTTCTGTTCAAATTCAGAGGAAGAGTCTAGATCTCAACGTTCAGTCTGCTTCAGCTCCTTCAAGAGGCAAAACCCTCCCCACACCGGTACAGGCAAACCCGCCCATTGTACACTAATCAAACTCAATCTGTTAAGCTTTATTTAATCAATGGGCTTGAGTTTAGTTGAAGACTTTCCAATAAGTGTGAGGGATGCAATTTTTGCCTCGTTGTTTTATTTACATTGAATGCTATTTTCAGCCTAAATGATTGGCAATGCTTAAGTGCACCGATTTAAGCTTGGTCTCATTTTAAAGAAGACATGTGTCAGAAAATATTGTAGAATCAGGTTTTTTTAATTATTTTTTTTTACTTTTCGTAAAGTACAGTACCTGACAAAAGTCTTCACATCGATCCCAGTTGCTAGTTGATCATTTGGGAAAGTGGCAGATGGTAGGTTTTTCAGATGAATCATCTGTTGAGCTGCATCCCAATCATCACAAATACTGCAGAAGACCTACTGGACCCTGCATGGACCCATGACTTTCATAGAAATCAGTCAAGCTTGGTGAGGGGAAAAATCATGGTTTGGGGTTACATTCAGAATGGGGGCATGTGAGGGATAAACATCAGCAGCCTGAGGTATCAAGAGATTTGTGCTGCCCATTACATTACAAACCACAGGAGAGGGCAAATTCTTCAGAAGGATAGCGCTCATACTTTAGCCTCCACATCAAAGTTTCTGAAAGCAAGGAAGATCAAGGTGCTCCAGGATTGGCCAGCCCAGTCACCAGATATGAACATTATTGAGCATGTCTGGGGTAAGATGAAGTAGGAGGTATTAAAGATGAATTCAAAGAATCTTGAACTCTGGGAGTCCTACAGGAACGCTTTCTTTGCCATTCCAGATGAATTTATTAATAAGTGATTTAAGTCATTTCAGAGATGTATGGATGCAGTCCTCCAAGCTCATGGGAGTCAGACATAATATTCATCCTGTTTCCACTGCAGCATGACTTTATATTCTATACTGTACATTATTTCTGTTAAGTGACAAGACTTTTGTCTAAGCAAAGTCAGACCTTATTGCCCTAATGAAATAATTAAAAATCAAGGTATGATCATAATTTATTTTGGTAAAATAAGTGTAATCTAGAGGCCTTTGCCTTTCATAAAAGCCACTTCCGATACCAAATGATCAACTTGAAGTCAAGTTATTATTTGCTGTTCCTAAAACTTGGATAGTCGAGAAGATTTTTGTCAGGTAGTGTATATGAAAGCATTTCATGTCTTGACAGAACTAAATCTATTAACATCATTCATTACCAACTCATTGTTCGATGTAACGTGTAATTGTATAATATGAGGTAAGTGGCTAGAGATCACATTATTGTTACTATTAATATTATTATTCAGCCATTATTGGGATTTGTTTTTACTCTCAATTGACTTTAGTATTTAAATCCTCACCACTGAATCCTTTTGCATTTAACTTGTCCCACAATTATTATACGGAAATCTCGAATTTTTAATTTTTACAAAATTAGTTCTGAATTTTAAGGGATGGTTTTACATCATCAGCACAGTTTAGAGAGCTTTCCACCACTTTATTCAGAAAATGTACTGTTATTTTTACAGATTTTATTGTTATAATTGAGGTTAGTGTCTTCTTTCCTTTAATTCCTCTCCTTTCTGATTGCTCTTTCAGAAGAGAAAAGCAGAGTCTGTCTCTTTGGCTACACAAGTTACAGCAGCGACTCCAGTGCCTTCACTTCCCAGCTCTGCAGAGGCAAGTCAGGCCTCAGTGTATCCCGCCATGAGAGACTCTTCATTCAGCATTAAAGCCAGAGAAGAACACGAGCAGCTCACATCTCTCACCACAGTAATTTATTTTTAAATTTCTAAACCATGGTCTCTGTTATTTGCAATTATAGAGCAAAGTCTTATCCTACATTTTTTGTCAATGTTTTTAGTCACTGTTACCTTTGGATTTTATTTACTTTTTTTTAAGCTGACTTTTTAAATTACCTTTTGATTTTTCTTATTCAAGAATGGCACCACACGTCGTCTAATTCCTTCTCAACCAGGAAGAAAAAGGAAAAATTGTGTAGGGACGGAAGAGGTAGGACCTGCAGTTTGATTAACAGATGTTTTATTAACATTACACACTACACCTTTGTTTTTCTTTCAAATCTTTGTTAAAGTTGTTGAATCCCATGTCTTATCAAAAAATAATTTGCAATATTTGTAACACATTATAATATGGCACATGTAGTTAATGATAGTTAATATATTTACTAATATGAACATAATAAATTATGCTTGTACAGCATTTATTAATTATTGTTTTTGTTAAAATCCAACTCAGTTTTTTTTTTTTTTTTAAATATTGGGGTAAAAACTAACTTTTTTCCCCTTTGAACATAATATATATTTTATTTTATGAAGCATTTAAAATATTTTGCAACAGTAAACATCTCGGCAGGCACAGGACATCAACGTGATGTCAGATTGACGTTGTACCCCAATGGGAGACATTGCATTTTGTTTACAATTGAAAATCGGGTTGACTTCAGAACCCAACGTCCAACCTAAAATCAACCAAATATCAACATTTAAGGATGTTACAGCTTGACGATGTGCGGACGTTACCACTATGACGACTATCAGACATTGGATTTTGGTTGCCATGCCTGAAGAATAAATGTCAGTATTTGACATCAGTATGATGTTGGTTTAAGATTTTGGTCAATTTCAAACACAACCTAAAATCAAAGTCGTTATTGGTCAACAGATTAATTTTGTCCTTTGATGCTAGCTAGACATTGAATTTTGGTCACGACCTAAATCTTACCTAATATTAACTTCTTATGATTCTAGATCAGGCTAAAGAATTCAAATAAATTCTTGAATCAGTCATTCTGCCGCCTTCATTTGTTTAAAAAACACATCTTAAAAAACAGATCTTGCAGATCTTTTCTGCTGGCGATACTGTTGTCCTAAATTGGGCGGTTTTAAAACCTTGACTTTTCCAAACCGCGGTATTCCTTGAAAACGGTTATCCCATATCTATTGCTAGGCGACCATCGACTTTTTCTCAGAGGATGACAAGCTGACAAAACTTTGCTGTCACTCTTATACAAGGTTTATTCATGGATAAAATTAAGAAGCACTGCAGTGTTTGGGTGCTCTGTGTTCGTCTGAGATAATTAGTCTAACGAAATATGAATATTCCATACAAAATATTAAGCTGATCAGTCAGTTCTTGTCACGTGACTCACGGTGCGCTCGCGGCATTCATTCGACTGCGTATCTCCATTGGAAAGAACTAACTTGCGCGACCTCTAGAAAAGACATATGTGAACATTTGCGATCTCCAGCAGTTGATCTTCTTGCACAGACATGGTGGACCTGATTTGTTGACAAATATGTTGCGGATCCATTTCTTGGCAGTTTGCAGGTCCTTCACTGGGCCTTTTCCTCTTAGCAAAATAAATTTCTAAAGACGTCTGTTTCCTGCTCCTTTTGCTGCTTGTGGGTTAAATTTGGGCTCTCAAGTGACAAATGTAAACGAGAGAATACGGTAATTTTTCAAAATAAAAGATCTTCAGGCTACAATAATAAATAAAACTAAAATAATTAATGATTTCTTGTGCGGCCTGGTACTAATTGATCTGGTACTGGTCTGCGGCCTGGTGGTTGAGGACCATTGCATTAACTAACATTAACTGTGTGTCCCATATATTGTAAAGTCTTACCAGGCTATTTTAGTGTATTCTCATAAACATCACACATTTCATATTTGCCTTGCTGGCATAATGTTTGCTCTTCTAGTCTGTTGAATGTCAGGAAATGTGGCTGTGTTTATTCATAACAAGGTACACAAGAAAATATCACTTCGATTCAAAATAATTCAGTGTGAGTTTATTTTCTTCTGTTTGACATTTAAAACACTAAACTTTTGTGCTGTTAAATAAAGAAAATACAATTAAGCCCTTTGCCCTGAAATCATCCAACGTTAATTTGTTTTTTAGGCAATTTCCCATTTGTCTTTGTTTTCCCACTATCAAGTAAAATGTCCTAAAGCTTTGCACCCATCTGTTTTTCTGTTAGATTGTAAAGGTGTTCCAGAATAACAGCCCCCGCTCCTCCACCGTCTATTTGCCACCAGGAGAGGTCTGTCTGCTTTATCTCCCATTGTCTTCACTGTGTGTCTATTATAGTCAAAACAGCGCTTTTAAACTATAGTATGACTCTTCAGCTTTAGAAATAGTCTGAAATGCTAGAGTCCTTATGTTAAGGAAGAATTTAGGGTTTTCCAATTCTCTTTTTCAGGATAATTAGATAATTAATCAACGAATTCCTCATTTTTAAAGGTGCTCTATGTAATTGTTAGACCCTTCTAAAGCTTTGATATGCTGTAATGTTAGCAGATATTTGAGAAACATGCTAGGTGCACATACTTTAATGTGACAAGCAATGCTAAAGGCACTTAATCTACTTTAAAAAAAAATGTGTTCTTTGTCAGAACGGCTTTGTTTTTGGTCTGTAACTTCGCCCACTGCCAGTTTACCCAATTATATTTTAGTTACTTGTGTTGCCTTGGTGGAAAACAGTCTATTTCATTTACTTAAAGGCTGCTTTAACATATGTGGACCTGGCAAAATACAAACTTTAGAGGGCAGTAACAGCCTCTGAAATGAGATGCAGATTCAGAGTTCTAAAAATCCACACTTGGTGGTTTTTTAATTGGTGAATAATACGAATATTACAAATGTAAAGAATAGCTGAACAGCTTACATTAGCTATGTTTCCATTCAAAGATGCAAAATAAATTCATGCGCAAAACAGGATTATCGCATAAAAGCTGTGCGAATAATTCAACCTTTCTATCCAATGAGTCAAAGAGAAAAAAATAGTCACTTCCTGATTAACCAGCGCCAAAAATAACAAAAGTAATAACTTAAGGGAATTTGCTGCAGTGGGAAAAGCTGCGTAAATCTTTTTTTATTTAATGAATGACTTGCGCCTCAGAAGACGATGCCGACACGCAATGTGTGGTGGCATTTGATGCGCAAAGCACAGACGCTCTTGACATTTCTGGGGGTAAGTATTAGTATAATAATACTAAATGGTTAAGGTGTTTTAGAATGACCTAAACAACATTTCAGATGTTTTACAGTGTGCTCAGCCTGCTGGTTTGTCCATTCACACACATTTTTATTATTACATGACCTTTTATAACAAAATCTCAAAAAAAAATTTGTTTGGTAAAAGTTTTTTTATCATAGTTTATGCGCATCCTTTCTTATTGAATAAAAAGTTTATCCTACTGCATAAAAGCACATGTGCATATATGTTTTTTTGCAGATTTTCAGAATTTATGCGTTTATCTTGGCGTTTTCATCAACTGTTGTTTTTTTTTTTAATTAGGTGGATGGAAACATAGCTATTGTAAGGTTCAGTCGTCAAGCATGCTTGCTTCTGTTCCTGTCGCCAATCTGGCAACCTGCGTGTGCAAAGTCAGGGCCTAGTTAAAAAAAAACTCTTAATATTTTATTTAGACTGTCATACCTAGTTCAACCACTAGGTTAATGCTACATACTGCATCTTTAACAGAGAGTAGTCGCTTACCTAAGATATACGAATTGAAATATAAGAATTTTGGGCTATTTATCATATAATTAACTGAAAATTTTTGTTTTTAATGTAAAGTTTTGTACATTTTGTTTATCATCTATTATCTATGAGTTATAAAGTTGTTATTATTATTATGTAAGATATTTTTATCTGTATTGATCTAGCAATGGAATAGCCATAAGTTGCTGATGTGGCAATAAATAAACAACGTAACAAACAAACAAAATGCTATAAATATAAGATGTCGAGCGGTCTTTCTAACTCTAGTGTTTGCTCTCAGGATTCTCAGGACAGTTCTGATGGTATTCCCTCTGCTCCCCGCATGACTGGTAGTTTGGTGTCGGACCGCAGTCACGATGACATCATCACTCGAATGAAGAACATAGACTGTATTGAGCTGGGCAGGCACAGGCTAAAGCCGTGGTACTTTTCTCCATATCCACAGGAGCTTACTACGCTTCCCATCCTGTATCTATGTGAATTCTGTCTCAAGTACCTCAAGAGCCTCAAGTGTCTCCAGAGGCACCTGGTAAGAGCTGTTCTAGGACCAGATGTAACACATTCACAGCACCAAATAAAGGTTGAGTGTTTTTTTTTATTTTTGCTCTTTGTACGGGTAACACTTTAGGTCAAAATTTATGCTATTAACTACTGGCTTATTACCTGCCTATTATTAAAATATGAACTGTTCATTAGTAGTTGTAAAGTATGATCTTATTCTGCATTACTAATCCTACCCAAAACCTAAACCTAACCTCTACCTTACTAACTATTAATAAACAGCTAATTAGAGGTTTTATCAAGCTAGTAGTGTTAGTTAATGGTTTGTTATTACTGTGAATTGTGACCTAAACTAAAGTGTTAGCCTTGTACTTTTAGTTTTTTTTTTTATTGTTATTTTGAGGAAAATTAGGGTAAAAGTAAAGTTGATTGTTAAATCTGAGATGTTTTTTAGCCTCCTTAAGTCTTGTAAATGTGCTGTTAAACAGCTTTAACTGTCAACTCTCCATACATTTTGCAGACTAAATGCAATCTTCGACACCCACCAGGAAATGAAATCTATCGCAAAGGAACGATATCCTTTTTCGAAATAGATGGTCGCAAAAACAAGGTTGGTAACCAGTAGTTTGACTTAAAAATTTTAGTTATAGTTGGGGTGCTTGAAGGAATAATTTACCTAAAATGACAATTCTGTGATCATTTACTCACTCTTTCCCTGTTACAAACCTTTAAGTTTTTTTTTATTCTGTTAAACACAAAAGAAGATATTTTGAAGAATGCTGGAAACCTGTAACCATTGACGTCTATAGTATTTGTTTTTTCTACTATGGAAGTCCGTGATTGCAGGTTTCAGCTTGCTTCAAAATACCTCCTTTTGCGTTCAACAGAACAAAGAAACTCATAAAGGTTGAGGGTGAGTAAATAGATTTTTTTGGAGTGAACTATCCCTTAAAATAAAAAAAAAGTCTCTTTTAACTGATTAAATAAATACATCAGCTTTTTTATTTGGTTCACTATGATGAATAGATCCATGCAGCCATACAATTAGCACTTATCATTAGCATGTGTCAGATTTAGAATTAAAGTCAACGGTGAGTACGTTTACATGGACACAAATAATTCTATTTTAATACGATTAAGACAATACTCTGATTAAAAGTCTACCATATAAACAGAGATTTTTGATTACCTTAATCCGACTAAAGTCATAATTGAACTAAACAGAAAACGGATAAAGAAGTGGAGTATGCCGATTATTGAAGTGCAGTACATGTAAACACCACAATCAAACTATTACCGTCATGTAGGATTTTTGCCACATTGAACGACAGGATATACACTGCAGTCTATAAAGTCTATACACACATGGCTGTCTGACACTATTCTCTGCACCTACTAAGTCAGTAAAGGACCACAGACACCTGCATTGCGAAAATAATTTCCATTAAATTCCATTAAAACAGCACTCTTTTCAGCAGTTCATACTCGCATTCAATATTTTGTTTGTGATGGGGGCATGCATGAAATGTTTCTGAATGAAAGTGAAAGTGCCGAACTACATTTAAAGTCGACAAAATAAAAATGAAACACCTGAAATTACATGAAACTCTGGAGGAAACGTGGATACTGTGCTGACGCAATGACGTTTATCGGTATATGTGCTATAACATGTAGAATTCAATTCATGTTTATTTATATAGCTTTTACAATGTAGCCTGTGTCAATGCAGCTTAACATAGAAGTTCTTGTACCTTTATGATCCACATGTTCCATTTACTTTCAAAAAGGTAGTCATGTAAACATCTTAATCTTATTATTGTCTTATTCAGATTAAGGCAAATAATTTGATTGCTAATGTCCATGTAAATGTAGTCATTGTTGATATAATCTTTTAATCAGCACTCTCCTGGTTCAATCTCCTTTTTGTTCATAGGTTACCGTAAAAAAAAAAGTTGCTTAAAGGGTCACGAAACACCAAAACACATTTTTTGAGCTGTTGACAGTCGTATATGTGTCCCACACTGCTATAAACACTATTAGGACACCTATATTTCACTACAAAGTGTAAATTGGTTGTTTTTGCGTTATTTCAAGCAAATTCGTACTTCCGGTTTGAAACAAATTTTTGAAGCTGCGTCACGGTCATGACATAATAGCGTGTATTCCAGCGTGCAGACTGGGCGTCTGTGCCAGAGTGAGTCTTATTACGTCTTACAGTGTGCTGCATTAATGCATGAGTAAGGCTTGGTTAAAACCAATCAGCGCGCTCTATTGTGCAACTTCATTAATATTCATTACTGTCACAGTGTTTTCACGACAGAGACGCCACGTTGTGTTGGCAAAACAAGCGTGAAGTGTTGCTTTTATAGTTTGCTGCCGTTAAGTTTTGTTTTCATTTTCTCTCTGTGAGAGCGCAGCTGGCGTCACGTGTGGATTAACAGTGTACGCGACGCGCGACAACAATAACTTACGTGTCTAAGGAGGATTATTGTTTACCTGAGAGCTGTTCTCATCTCCAAACGCTGAGATCTGGATTCGCTTGTAGTCTTCTCTTCATAAAGACGCGGCTCTAGTTACTGGTGATTGTCCTGTCTCTACAGATTTGGTAAGTGAGCGACCAGTGCTCTTTGTTTATTCAGTTTGCTCGTATCGAACTAAGTTAACTATTGCACCGAGTCACCGAGTGTAAACACGTTAGCATCACAACCAAACTTTAACCTCGTGTAGGGTTTTTACCGCATTTAGTGACCGGAATTACACGCGCGGCTTTTTGACGCTACCTGCCGTGTTCATCTAAGTTTCCGGGAAATGCGGAGGTTTTTTTTCTCTCATTCGCCGTGCGGTATCAAACATTGCATGAAAAATACACGCTTAGAGCAGATCCTCGAATCAAATATCTCGTTTGTCGCGAGGGGCATGAATGAATTCCCTGAATGAAAGAGCCAAACTGCAGTTAAAGTCCACCATTTAATAATTTGGCAAATAATTCGACTACAGATCTCCATGTAGGTTAAACACCATCACTTTCTCCTTTCTGTGTATTTTGACTCTGAAACTCGCGCGTGCCCAAATAGACACTCCCACACCATCCCACTTTAGTTCCTCCGACACTCCCCCCTAAACAGAGCTGGACACGCCCACTTTTCTGACTTTTTCCAAAGTAGAGGTGTGAAAACACCCTGCTGAAACGAGAGGGTTTCATGGCCCTTCAAAGTGTTTTTTTTATTTTTGCTTAGAGTGAAGTTTAAAGGTTAAATTTGATGTTGAGATTCCATCGATTCAAGAAGTGCCTTTTTTTTAAATGTTTTGCTAAATCTCTTTTTCCACCGCACAGATGTATTCCCAAAATTTGTGTTTATTGGCCAAATGCTTCCTGGACCACAAGACTCTCTACTACGACACGGATCCTTTCCTCTTCTATGTAATGACAGAGTATGACTCTAAGGGTTTCCACATAGTCGGCTACTTCTCCAAGGTACATCATTGCTAGGCTTGATTGTTGAATCTCCTTTTTTATACTATAGCCTTATTATGCTGTGTGTGTGTGTGTTTGTGTGTGTTCACTCTTTTGCTGTCCTCCAAATAAAGGAAAAGGAATCAACAGAGGACTATAACGTGGCCTGCATTTTGACTTTACCACCTTACCAGAGAAGAGGCTATGGAAAACTTCTAATTGAGTTTAGTGAGTAATCTTGGCTTTTCATTGAAGAACTAAATTATTGCTCTCATTTGTGTAATAAAACTTAAAATTACATCATGAACATTTGGGCCTTGTTTACATCTTCCAGGTTATGAGCTCTCTAAAGTGGAAGGAAAAACTGGTACTCCAGAGAAGCCTTTGTCTGATCTGGGTCTGCTCTCTTACCGTTCATACTGGTCACAGACAATACTGGAGATCCTTATGAACCTCAAATCAGAGAATGGAGAACGACCACAGATGACCATCAAGTAGGTCATTTGCTCAACAGAAATATCTTTAATATAATACTATTTTATTTTATTATTATGTTATTTTGATAAGTATTTTTTACCATTATATTTTGCTTTGACATTATTTTTATAAAAATTCAAAACATAGTCGATACATAGTATTGTGTGTTTTCAGTAAGTGTGTATATATACAGTTGAAGTCAAAATTTTCAGCCCTCCTGTGATGATTTTTTTTTTCTTTCTTTCTTCAAATATTTCCCAAATTATGTTTAACAAGAAATGTTTCACAGTATTTCCTATAATATTTTTTATTCTGGAGAAAGTCTTATTCACTTTATTTAGGCTAGAATAAAAGTAGTTTTCATTTTTTTTTTGAAAGCCATTGCAAGGTCAATGTACTGTCATCATGGCAAAGATAAAATAAATCAGTGCTGATGCTTTTATCCAAGTAACTTCCAAATGAGGATAAAACACAAGTACATTATTAAATTAGTAAATAAGACCCAAAAATCTCCATTTAATTTTTTTAATTTATTAATGAACCTTTTAATGATACAAGTTTTTAGAGTTAGTTGATTTTGTTTTTAATCTCATGGCAATTTTGACAATCTTAGTGAAATCAGTGAGATCACCAGCGTCAAGAAGGAAGATGTTATATCGACTCTTCAATACCTCAATCTCATCAATTATTATAAGGTGGGTGATCACTCAGGATGTTCTCTGTTCGAGAAATCAATTCAGCATAGATTCTGAGATTTTCAAAATGTATTGCTATTCTCTTGTGTATCAATTCTGAACAATTCTGTTTTTAACAGCAGATAGCGCTAAATCATTATTATATCCTACTCTGTGCTTGCTAACATTAATGCAATTTGAGAAAAAAAAATAGCCTAGATGGCCAGCTGCTGTTAAAAACTAGCCTAGAATGCCATGTGTAGCCTAGAGCATTAAAAACTAGCCTAGAGGGCCATCAGCTGTTAAAAACTAGCCTAGAATACAATCTGCTGTTAAAAACTAGCCGAGAGCGCCATTTGCTGTTAAAGACTAACTTAGAGTGCCATCTAGAGCACCATCTGTCATTAAAAGCTTGCCTAGAGCGCCATCTAGAGCTCTACCTGTAGTTTAAAACTACCTTAGAGTGACATCTGTTGTTAAAATCCAGCCAAGAGCACTATCTGCTGTTAAAAGCTGGCCTAGAGCGCCATTTTGAGCACTATCTGTAGTTAAAAACTAGCGTAGAGCGACATCTGCTGTTATATCTAGCTTAGAGTGCCATCTAGAGCTGTCATTAAAAGCTAGCATAGAGTGCCATCTAGAGCACTATCTGTTGTTAAAAACTAGCATAGAGAGCCATCTGCTGTTAAAAGCTAGCCAGAAGCACCATCTAGAGCACCATCTGTAGTTAAAAACCAGCCTAGAGCACCATCTAGAGCACCATCTGTCATTAAAAGCTAGCCTAGAGCACCATCTGTCATTAAAATCTAGCCTAGCGCGCCATATAGAGCAACATCCGTCAAGCAAAGCTAGCCTAGAGTGCCATCTAGAGCACCATCTATCATTAAAAGCTAGCCTAAAGTGCCATCTAGAGCACCATCTGTCATTAAAAGTTAGCCTAGAGCGCCATCTAGAGCACCATTTGTCATTAAAAGCTAGCCTAGAGTGCCATCTAGAGCACCATCTGTCATTAAAAGCTAGCCTAGAGTGCCATCTAGAGCACCATCTGTCATTAAAAGCTAGCCTAGAGTGCCATCTAGAGCACCATCTGTCATTAAAAGTTAGCCTAGAGCGCCATCTAGAGCACCATCTGTAGTTAAAAACTAGCCTAGAGCACCATCTGTCGTTAAAAACTAGCCTAGAGTGCAGAATTGATTCAAGAGGGAATAGTAATGATACAATTTGAAAATCTCTATCAGTTTGTGGAATGATTTTTCTCTACAGCTCTGATTGTAGCACTGAGTCTGCTTTGTTGAACTTCCCGCAGGGTCAGTATATTCTCACTCTATCAGAGGACATAGTGGAAGGCCATGAGCGGGCCATGCATAAGCGGCACCTCCGAATCGACTCCAAGTGTTTGCATTTCACTCCTAAAGACTGGAGCAAGAGGGGCAAGTGGTAAACTTTAGGGTCAAATTCATGTCAATCTTGTCAAAAGATCTTCCTAAATACGAAAATGTATGGTCAGTGCCATAAAAACACAACCACAACAGCATTTACATGTTGTTTCCCACCGTTTGTGAATCATATTCAATTTCCAAGGAGAGCTGCTGAAGCGGAGATCAATGAGGACTGGACGCTAATGTGTCCCTCTATGTGCGATACTCTACTGACTCAAGAACAAGAAGTGAGCGTATGTCGATTTTGAGACTTGATATTAAATCAAAGCTACACACTTCAGTTACTTTTGTAATCATACATGTTTTTCCAGCCCCAAAAAAAACCTGCTGGAAACACGTTTTTAACCATATCATAACCACTCGAGTCAGTTCTCACAAACAAGCAGCCTTTGATATAAACAGCATATTTTTAACAACTGCTTGTGCTGACTGTTGAACTTCCATCTTCCTGACAGAAGAAAAAATTGTTGAATTGCACAAATGTTTACCCCCTTTTTTTTTGTTCAACCTCGCTGCAACTTTGTCGGTTGTGTTGTCAGAAGTCAGCAGACATACCGTACACATAAAAAATGAATAAGATAATGCTGCTTTGTTGTCGTGTTTAGCGGATTATGTGAATGGACTTTACATTGTCATTGTGTCTGTACATAATTTACTACATTTAAAGTAAATGTCTTTTCTACATTGTATTTTTTCCATGGGTTTTTGGATTCCTCATCTTTTTGTTTAGTTTTTTTGTAACGAATGTTAACCAGCAAACACTCTCCACAGCTTCTGTTTTAGGTTAAATAAAAATACAAATGGTCAATTTAATCTGCCTTAATGCTATGGTTCTCAAAGTGGTGGTCGTGAGACAGTAGGGGGGGGGGGGTCGTTTGGTAATTGCCAAAAAATCTCATATTTGATCAACTATTAGAATTAGGGCTGCACGATTAATCAAGAAAAGATCACAATCTCAGTTTGACCCTACACACAATCCTAATTCAGCTTTTCTACAATTCAGCCAATTATATTTTCAAGGTCAGGAGAAAAGAAAAGGCGCCCCAAGTCTTCACAGGTACATGAACACCTTCAAATGGCGTTAAAAGTGTCACATAGTGTATTTATTAGGTATAATTCACCCAAAATGTCATTTCTGTCTTAATGTAATGATGTACTCATGGTCACGAAATCTCACGTGAGCTGACGCACTGTTTATTTGCTGCCGAGAATGCGCGCGTGCACACGAATGACGCCTACTTTAGTTAACACAACCTGCATTAGCTGTGAATAACAGGTAATAACATTGTAATAAACCTTCAGGTTTTTGCACAGAGCGATCGTTTGAGGGCCGTGCAGGAGGTTTGATTTGCATGTTTGTGTTTTTCTCTCACAGTTACAGCAGCCATGATCCGCACTCGGAAGTAAAAGTGAAACCTGTGCGCACATCATTTACATGAAAATATTGCATTTTAGAGTTATGATTACAAGCATTTGATATGTTTTTTTTTTCAAAGTGATCACATAGTGTTGTGCATGAAAATAAATGTTTACTGTGTCAGTATAACAACCATAGCCTATATTCAATGGAAATATATAGGTCCAATAATGTTGTCAATGACAGATGACAAGCACATGTCTTAAACATAATAAATCAACTTCAGAATTATGAATAGTTATATTCTGATGTCATCATTTTACGGTGAATTAACAAACAGGACATATTTAAGTCTGTTAAGCAAAAAAAAATAATTGTAATTCACATTTTTGCCAGAATCGTGCAGCCCTAATTAGAATTATCATATTTTGTCAATTGTAATATTTTATTTGCAACCCCTGGGTTTGTTATGATAGATTAACATCACAGCATAAGCGTTAATTGCTGCTGATTGATTTTGAGGTACAATTTTAAGCTTTGACACCTTTATGGCACTCGCATACATTAAAAAAATGTACTTTTGCATGAATATTATGACACCTCTATAGAATACAAAAAAATATATGTTTTATAAAATGATCTGTTGTCTTAGACCTGACTCATGGCCGAGAGTTATAATAATGATGTCTTAGATACCTCCCTGACTCATTATTCCTCGTTTCTGCTTCATAGCCATGCTTAGTCAAAGTATCATCATCCTCATATTATATACACTATAGTTTTGTCGACTTGCATGTTGACGCATTTCTGCGTGCATGTAAACAACCGGGATGAATCGCGGATGAATCTGAAAAATGGCAGGGGGGTTGTGGTGGAAAGTGGATGTCACAGGCCCTTGATAATGTCTCTGGTGGCCCCCTAATTTAACTTAGAATTGTCCATACTTCCCCCCTCCCCCCTTTTAGTGCATGTTCACTAGCACTAAACTGATGTATATATCTTTGCACGTGATTCTATGAGAAATATATGTACTTTATTGAAACAAGGCACATGTGCGTCTGAAGTATACATCAGAATGAGCGTGACAGGCATTGGAACGACATGAGGGTGAGTAATTAATATCATCATTTTCAATTTTGAGTGAACATACTCCTTTAAATATCATCAGCATCACAGTAAAGTATGTTTCTGATCCTAATGATATGATGCACCACAGTGTTTTGATACTTTTTTTTTTAACTGATTAAATAAAGAAATAGTAAATGGGGGCTGAAAATCTGGAATTAAAAGGCAAACCCAGTTGTGATTTCCTGAAAAAGCAGTCTGAGTGAATACATTTTATATTCTTCCTAATCATATTACAAAGCCTGTTCTCTAGATGATGAAATATGGAAGTCTGCAGTGAAATGTGCTCGCAGGGAATCCAGCATGATAACATCAGTCTGTTGAGGAGAAACTGTCTATCTGAGTCATCTGGTAGATCTTCACACAAATCTGTCACTGAGACATGTTCAGAGGTATGTACTCGCAGGGGCCAGACAGAATTTATGCGGGTTGATTTTGGGAGTATTGTAACTAAAAACTTCATTCTTTCATCTATTTTCCTTCGGTTTGGTCCCTTTATTCTTCTAGGGTCGCCACAGTGCAATTCACCGCCAACTTATCCAGGATATGTTTTGCATATATTGTCCTTCAAGCTGCAACTCAGTTCTGGGAAGCATCCATACACACTCATCCACACATACACAACAGCCAATTTAGTTAATCCAGTTCCTCTATAGCGGATGTTTTTGGTCTGTTGGGGAAACCGGAACACCTGGTGGAAACCCATGTGGACACGGGGTAACATGCAAACTCCACACAGAAATGCCAACTGACTTAGCCGAAGCTCAAACCAGCACCTTCTTGCTGTGAAGTGACTGCTAACCACTGACCTACGGTGCTGCCCATAACTAAAAACTTAATATATAAAATTAAAAAAAACTTTTATTTAATGTTTACGATGCAAATCCAATTAGATCAACAAACAAAGCAAGTCTCGCGCATAATAGATCTACTAAAAGACAGAAGATTTAACTTTACAAACTTTATTGTAAATAAATCATATGAACATATTCATTCATTTTCTTTTCGGCTTAGTCTCTTTATTAATCTGGGCTCACCACAGCGGAATGAACCGCCAACTTATCCAGCATATGTTTTATGCAGCGGATGCCCTTCCAGCTGAAACCCATCAGTGGGAAAACATCCTTACAAACTCGTTCACACTCATAAACTACGGACAATTTAGCCTACCTAGCCGAAGCTTGAACTAGCAACCTTCTTGCTGTCAGGCGATTGTGCTACTCACTGCGCCAACGTGACGCCCACATTTTGAAGTAGTAGTTCATGTAAGTAGTAGCAGAAGTAGTAATTGTGTGGTAGTTACAGTAGTAGTAGTAGTCGTTGTTGGTGTAGTAATATCAGTTGTAGATGTAGATGTAGTAGAAGTGATTGTGGTGGTGGTAGTAGCAGCAGTAGACGTTGTTGTATTAGTTGTAGCAAACGCTATAGTAATATCAGTAGTGGTAGTCGTTGTAGTAGTATCAGTATTAGTACACATTGTAGTAGTAGTAGTCGTGGTTGTGGCTGTAGTAGAAGCAGTAGCAGTTGTAATATAAGTAACTTTTTGTAGTAGTAGTTGGTGTAGCACTTGTGATTTATTATTATTGTTGTCAGTTATTACTGTTGTCCTTTCTTTCTTTTTACTCTCATTTTTACTATCATACATTAATAAGCATTGTTGTTACTCCCTACCTCTGACTGGTTTCTTTCTATATGTTTTATTTATATCTGTGACACTTGCTTCATTTATTGACTGTTATTGTTCCTTATGTATGTACTCTGACCTGTCCACCAAGTTACCTTTACATGCATACACACACTCACACACACACACACACACACACTCACGCACATACCAGTATATGACTATATTGTTGTTGTTTTTGTTTTGTTTTTGTTTCGTTGCTTTGTATTTGTTATTTGTTGACGTTTTCTTGTATTTGTATGATTTTTGCATATTCTAATAAAAAAAAATAAAAAATAAACTACGGACAATTTAGCCTACCCAGCCGAAGCTTGAACTAGCAACCTTCTTGCTGTCAGGCGATTGTGCTACTCACTGCGCCAACATGACGCCCACATTTTCATATTAGTCGAAAATATTCATTTAAAAACTGAATAAATTTAAATTGACACATTTACACAAGTAAATAAATAGATTTAATGATGGGCTAAAAATCTGCACAGATTTCATATGTGCCCATAAATTCGTGTTCAATTGTACTTATTTATACTTATTAACAAGTCTAACACATATGGTACTTTCAATATCAGACCCTGTAGTTTTTCACGATTTTTTTTATTTTTTTTGTATAAAAATGACTGATTTTGTGGTTGTAATTCCCAGAACATTGCAGAGAATTTTGCGATTAATTAATAATTGCATAAATATATAAACCCGCATCTGCCTACAGCACAGGCTGCAACACAGTTCCCTCTCCATGGATTGTGAGGGGCGCAGGCGAGATGTAATTTTTCGAGAGACACTCGAGTACATCACATGCGCTGTGCATGCTACATCATGTAAAACAATTAATTGCAAACTGAAACAAATCTAATTTGATTGTATGGTTTGGATTTGGACTTTTTTTTTAGATTATTAAAAGAATTGGCAATTAATTTGTGTTTAAGGATTTTGCAGGATCGCAAAAGTTTGCGACTTTTTGATGATTTTGCGTTGAATTCAGCCATCGCAGAATCGTGAAAAACTAGGGGATCTGCACTATATTATTTACGTTTACGCATCTGACAGACCGCTTTATTCAAAGCAAATTACATCGCATTGAAATTTTACATTTTTTAACTAAGACAAATATGTTGCGGGGTGGTGCAGTGGGTAGCACTGTCACCTCACAGCAAGAAGGTCGCTGGTTTGAGTCATTTTTGTGTGGAGTTTGCATGTTCTGCCCATGTTGGCGTGGGTTTCCTCCGGGTGCTCCAGCTTCCCTCACAGTCCAAAGACACTATAGGTGAATTGTGTAAGCTAAATTGGCAGTAGTGTATGAGTGTGTGTGTGAATGAATGAGTGTGTATGGATGTTTCCTAGTACTGGGTTGGGGCTGGAAGGGCATCCGCTGCATAAAACTAACCCCAATGTGGTTCATTCCGATGGTCTCTACCAGTCAGGGACTAAGCCGAAGGAAAATTACTGAATTTAAGCCCTGCAAAATTGGGACCAGATTATAGCTGATGTACAGTTGAAGTCAGAATTATTAGCCCCCTGAAATATTAGCACCACTGTTTTTTTTTCTTTTTTTCACCAATTTCTGTTTAATGGAGGGAAGATTGTTTCAGCACATTTCAAAGCATAATAGTTTTAAAAGCTTATTTCTAATAACGGATTTATTTTATC